TCTGGGAGGCCTCTTGGAGCCGTCTTGGGCCCCGTGGCTCAAAACGGGGGGGGGAGATCCTTGGGAATTTCTCAGGGATGTTATGGATCCCGGCTGGATCCCTAGGAAATTCTTTGGAGGTTTCGCAGGGATCCTGCTCAGATCACTCGGAATTCCTAAGGAATCCTAGGGATCCCGCTCAGATCCCTAGGAGAGTTCTCAGTTCGGCCCCCTCGGAGAATCAAACATGGCGTCTGGGGGCATTCTGGGGCCGCTCCAGAAGTGCCAGAAGGCCCTCTTAGGGGGGCCCTCGTGGGCCCCTCGTGGGACCTCCTTCCGCGACTCTCCCGTGGGCCGTCTCAAGGCCATCCATAGGGGCCTCAGGAGCCCATCGGAAGCGAAGACGAGAGAAGGAAGAGGACATCGAGGATTTTCCTTATGTTTCGGAGCCATGTGATCGTTTTCTTTTTCGTTGTTTTGTTGATCGGCATGGGCCGTCGAATCCCCCCCCCTCCCCTCCCCCTGCAGTAGATCTTGGCTGTTTTTGGCGCCTTTTCAGGCAGGTGGGGTCTCTCCCGTGGGACGCACTGCTGCAAACCGTTGCACTAAGCAGAGGTCCAGGGCCAGACCCCCCCTCCCCTCCCCTTCCGCCCAATGTCGAGACGTCGAATCAGAAAACGCTCACCGTAGGCTTTCGAGCCATTTTGGCCTCTTATGGGGGGGGGTCCTCGGGGACTCTCGGCGGGCACCGGAAGCCGTCTTGGGGCCACCTTGAGGCCCCTTGGATGTGCGTTGGAGGCTCCCTTGAGCCATCCTGCGGTATCTTGACCAATCTTGGGGGCCATCTTGGGCTCGCGGAGGCCCTCTTGGAGCCATCTGGGACCAACAAGGACGCTCGGACACCTCGCGCCCCCCCCCCCCCCTTCAGGCCCTGGGGTGGGGGTAGTGGGATTGGTAAACCCTTCGCCCTAGCGGGGGAAGGAGGGATTTTGGCAGAGAGAAGAGGAAAGTGTGTTAAACCACCTACGCCCGTCCGTGCGTCCGTCCGTCCGTCTCTCTCTCTCTCTCGCTCTCGTTATTTTGTTTTGCTGTGACGTGGGGACGCAGGAGGAGGGGGAATTAGGAGGGTGGGAAGGACCAGTGAGGAATGAGGAGGACAGGACGGTGAGGCAGGGGGATGAGGGAGGACGAGGAAGCGGACAGGGCAGAGGGGGAGGAGGAGGAGGCGGAGGAGGAGGGGGAGGGGGAGGATGAGGAGGAAGAGGAGGAGGAGGAGGACGACGACGAAGATGAGAAGACATGATGTGGCAAGGGGTTGATAATGATACTGCTGCTGATGATGGTGCTGATGATGCTGCTGATGATGATGCTGGTGCTGCTGCTGATGATGATGCTATTGATGCTGGTGATGCTTATGCTAATGATGATACTGATGCTGATGCGGATGCTGATGATGATTGTTATGCTGACGATGCTGACGATTGTGCTGATGTTGATGATGAAGTTGGTGGTGTTGCTGATGATGCTGGCGATGATGAGGATGCTGCTGCTGTTGCTGATGATGATGCTAATGATGATTGTGATACTGATGATGATAATGATGGTGCTGTTCATGCTGACGATACTGTTCTTGACGAGGTTGATGATAACGCTCCTGCTGGCGATGCCGATGATGGGGATGAGGATACTGTCGGCGATGGTGTAGTTGTTGCTATTATTGTTGTTGTTGTTGTTGTTGTTGTTGTTGTTGTTGTTGTTGTTGTTGTTGTTGTTGTTGGTGTTGTTGTTGTTGTTGCTGCTGTTGCTGCTGTTGTTGTGGACGGTGATGCTGATGATGCTGATGATGCTGCTTCTGCTGCTGATGATGACTATGCTGCTAATGCTGCTGTTGTTGATGATGCTGCTGCTGATGGTGATTATGGTGATGATTATGACGGCATGCCGACGACGATGACAGCGATGACGGTGATGATGACGATGTTGATTTTCGTGGCGGTGATGATTACAGTCGTAATGATCAGGGTGATGAACATGACGATGGTAGTATTGATGGGAATGAATGCAGACGACGCTCATGCCGTTGAACATGCTGTTGCTGGTTGTGGTGGTGTTGGTGGGGATGGTGTTGATGATGCTGATGCTGATGATGCTGTCGGTGATGATGATGCTGCTGCTGATAATGCTTGTGTGCTTGTGCTGATGCTGACGATGATGCTTATGCTGATGCAGATGCAGATGCTGATGCTGGTGCTGATGTTCATGCCGACGATGATGATGATGCTGATGATGATGACGATGATGATGATGATGATGATGATGATGATGATGATGATGATGATGATGAGGGTGGTGCTGATGATAATGTGATGATGCTGATTATGATGATGATGACGATGAGGGTGATGCTGATGAGGATGATGATGGTGATGATGATGATGATGATGATGATGATGATGATGATGACGTTGATGCCGATGATGATGACGATGCTGCTGATGATGATGTTGATGCTGATGCTGATGCTGATGCCGCTGATGATGCTGATGCTTCTGATGATGATGGTGGGTGTGGTGATGATGATGCTGATGCCGACGCTGATGATGCTGCTGTTGATGCTGCTGCTGATGCTGCTGATGATGCTGAACATGAGGATGATGATGATGATGCTGATGCTGATGCGGATGCTGATATGATGATGATGATGAGGATGAGGATGATGATGATGATGATGATGATGATGATGATGATGATGCTGATGATGATGATGATGATGATGATGATGATGATGATGATGATGATGATGATGATGATACGATGATGGCACGATGATGATACGATGATGGTGATACGATGATGATACGATGGTGATGCGATGACGATGTGATGACTGTGATGTGATCATTCGTGATGAGAGAGGATGAGGACATTCCCGCCAACTATTGCCAGAACGGGTTCTGTGGGCGGTCCTCGCAAGCCTCGGCGGGCCGCCGCTTGGCACGAGAGCAGCGCACTCCCTTGACCTCCGCGGCCTCCGCAGGTCGCACAGCTGACTGCTGGAAACCTCGATCCTCCCCTGCCTCCTCGTCATCGTCCTTCTCCTCCTCCTCTTTATCCTTCTCCTCCTCTTTATCCTCCTCCTCCTCTTCCTCCTCCTCCTGATGTCGTTGTCGCTGTCGGCCTCGGAGTTCGCTTCGAACGCGGCCACCCCTTCTCCTCCTCCTCCTCCTCCTCCTCCTCCTCCTCCTCCTCGTCCTCGTCCTCCTTCTCCTCCATCCTCCTCCTCCTCCTCCTCCTCCTCCTCCTCCTCCTCCACCTCCTCCTCCTCCTTCTCCGCCAGGGAGTTTGGAGGCCTGAGCACGATGCGGTGCGCCCTCGCGCGCTCACGCGCCCTGCGGTCCGGAAACTCAGACACCCTCGCGTCGTGATCGTCGAGGCTCGGACCGAGGATCGAGGTTCGGCCGGGTTTCGGACGGTTTCGTCGGTTTCTGGCGGGGTTTTCTGCCTCGGGATGCGTTCCGGCAGCTGCGCCGCGCCCAGTGCGTTCCGGGGCTGCCCAGGTCGTCTGGAACGGCCGCTGGAGGCCCGAGTAATGACCCGAACACCAAGGCCCGCCCACAGACCCCTTCGCGTCGTGCAGCAATCACGACGGGCGTCTTGTGGCCGTGCTCAGCCCTTGTGGACCCCCGCGGGGCCGCGGGGCCGTCAAAAAGCGACCTGGAGCGAAAAGCTGGTCCCGGTGAAGGTGTCGAGACCCCTGGTCGGGGCTCAAGGGACGGGGGTCAAGGCAAACGGGGGTCAGCCAGAGCGCCTGACCTTGCAGGATCCTGCAGAGCCAGGGCTGCACTGACTCGGGTTTGGTCGCAGGATCCCGCAGGATCCTGCAGGATTTTGCCAGACTTTGCAAAGCCTGACTGACCCAGGTCTGGATTGACCCGGGGCAGTAGACCCCGATTTGCGGGTCGACGCTGCGACAGACCTGATGACGTCTTTTGCCCGCCCCTGCTGTCCCCAGGTGGTGTGCGCCTTCCTCTTCCTCCTCGCCAACCAGGACCCGAGGGAAAGCGGCCTCCCTGTTGTGCGGACCGCCTAAGACAGAGGCCCCCCAGCCGCCGGCAGCTCCCGACAGTTGCCAGTAGGTGGGGCATGCGGGGGGGCATCCGCTTGTGGCGGGGCGGCGCACCAGCGAATCGAACTCGTGTCCCCCTCTCAGGGTCACCCCCCTCTCGTGGATCCCGATTCTCGCCCTCCCCCTTCCCCTTCGTCCCCCTTCCCTTTCCCCTTCGTCCCCCTTCCCCCCTTCCCCTTCGCCCCCCTCCCCCTTCCCCTTCGTCCCCCTTCCCCCTCGTCCCCCTTCCCTTTCCTGGCCCCTCGCCCCCTCGTCCCCCTTCCCTTTCCTGGCTCCTCGCCCCCTCGGCCCTCGTCGCCGTCCTCCTCCTCCTCCTCCCTCTGCCTGCGCCGCGCTCCTGGGGGGAGGGGGGGTCTCTTCGCCGAGCGGGGCGAGTGGCTCCTGCTCCTCGCCTCCTCCTCTTCCTCCTCCCCCTCCTCCCTCCTCTAAGTTTTCGGCTCGCGAGGAGCTGCCTCCCCCTTGGGCGCCTGCGGGGCAGGCGAGGGGATAGGCTCCTGGCGCGCGCCGAGACCAGCGCTCGCGACGGCGGCTCCGCGGGAGGCTGCCGCCCATCATCGAGCGCGACTACAACGCAGGGAGGACAGGCTCCTCCTCCACGCCTGGTCGGGGCGCACGACCCCTGCGCTGGTAGCCAGGCTGCGCGGCGCGGCCCAGCGGTTGGACGCCCATCACGGCTCCTCTGCAGGGGCGATGGCGCCTGCACCGCCGCAGGCGAGAGTGCTGCGTGGCCCCCGAGAGCCTGTCTGGGGATGCCAGTGTGGGAAGGACAACAACTGGGCCTGCCGCATCGTGTGCTCCTGCGGGCGGCAGGCTTCTCAGAAGGTCATCAACGCTGCCAAGAAGGCGGACCAGGAGGCGCGGAACAAGAAGCCCTCGCAGAGAGCAGGAGGCACAGGGCTCGTGCGGAAGCCTGCCCCGTGGTCCAAGGAGAGCGGCCTCACGGAGAAGAAGATCCGCGAGCTGGTGCAGCAGTGCATCTCCCAGCACGCGGGCAGCACCAAGGGGCCCCCATCGCCTACGGCACCAGCGTCATCAGGAGCGGGCGCCAGTTGCAAGGAGCAGGCGCAGCTCGTGCAGGGCAACATCCAGCAGCGCACGGAGCTCCAGGCGAAGATCAACTTCCACGAGAAGAGCCTCAAGGAGTGCAAGATCGTGGAGGCAGAGGGCGGCCCAATTCACCTCCTGCACCAGCGGGCCCTCGACGTCCTTCGGCAGCAGGCGCGTGAATTGCGCCCCCCAGGCGCTGCTTACAAGGCCTCGTCCCAGAAGCTCGCGCGGTGCATGCAGCAGCTGGACCGCTTCACGAGCGACCTGCAGGGCCTGGAGGCGCAGCTGGAGGCTACCCAGCGCAAGATCCAGGATAAGCAGGAGGCCATTGCGGCTAAACAGGCTGAGGTGGAGGTCCTGCGCAAGGAGAATGCGAAGCACGAGCAAACCATGCAGGCTGCACGTGGTGAGAAGCCCCACCCAGTCATCAAGGAGGAAGACTTGGTTGGCTTCGACCTCGCCGAGCAGCTCGACGACGATGGCGCGAAGGAGGCCCTCGAGCAGTTCAAGGCGAGCCCCCACTTCGGCAAGATCCAGGCGGCCCTCCGCAAGCAGGCGGCGGAGAAGCTGGCTACGGTCATGGCTGAGGAACCTGGTGTTCATGCTCCTCATGCTGAGGGCGGTGGCGCAGGCGCAGCAGACGGACCGCCAGCTCGGGATGACGATGACATGGACGACGAAGACGCCGACGGCGACGCACAGCCTCGAGGAGGCGATAAGCGCGGAGCCGCCTGGGTGGAGCTGGCCAAGGATGACGTCGGCGCCCTCTGGCAGCAGCTCCTCAGCAGCGGACAGCAGCCTACGGACTGGACCAAGGAGAAGCTGGACGACGCCTTCACGCAGGTCCAGCACAGCAAGCACCGCAGGACTGCTGAAGGCTCCCTGGGCACAGGCACGATGCCTGGGTAACCCGCCCCTGGTCAGCGGGCTACTGGCTGCCAGCGCTGGCGCCAAGCAGCTACACGTACCAGCAGCGGTCACCATCACGCACACCTTCGAGACCTTCAACGCCAACCAGGGAAAGCTAACCCTCCAGAAGCGGCTGAGAAGGTCAACAGCAATGGTCATCATGGCTCAGGAGATAGGCTACGGCATCGATGACTGCGAGAGCCTCTCTTCTTGGGCAACGGCGCGCGGCTGGCAAAGCCTCATCGTGCCAGGGCTGCCCTCACGAGGGTACCTCCCCTCCGCAGGCCTGGCAGTCTTCGCCAGGGAGGGGGTCGGGCTGCGCGGGCCCACTTACCCTGGCGAGGCCCCGCCCAGACGTGCAGGCAGCGTCAACGAGACCATTGCGCACGGCACCGAGCTTGTCCGTGGCAGGGCTCAACACGTCGTCGTGGAGCTGCCGAACTGGCCGCCGCTCAACGTCGTCAACGTGTACCTCCACACAGGGGAGGGCATGAGCAGCCGCAGCGCAAGTATACTCATGACGGTAGGGCTCGCGCTTGCGGGCCAGGCGCACCACGGCATCATCGGCGGTGACTGGGACATGGACGTGCAGGTTGTCAAGAACTCCGGCTTCCCCGTGCACGCGCAGCTGGAGATGGTCACCCCGAGGCGCGCGACCTGCAGGACAGCGGCGTCGGTGTCAACCATCGACTACTTCGGGCTGACCACGGGAGCCATGCGCATGCTAGCTGCATGCAACGCAGACTTGACCTGGTCGGTAAAGCCGCATCGACCAGTTCAGCTTCAACTGACAGCGGAGGGCACCAAGCTCAGGTACCTCACCTACGTAGGCGGTGCGAAGATACCAGCGCAGATTGTGCACGGACCTTTCCTCGAGGAGAGCAGCTGGTCCCTGGAGCGCAGCTTCGCTGAGCAGGCGCTGAGCATGGCCAAGGAGGCGCCTGCTGCAGTCGCCTGGCGTTTCCTCTCGAAGGCTTGGGGCAGATGGGCGACCAGGGCAGCCTCGAGGCTCGGGCACCTCACTGGTACGGAGACGCGGGCCAGCGCCTACGCGCGTCCGCTCCAAGCCAAGTGGGTCGAGCGTGAGCACCGGGTCCTCACGGAGGATGAGGTACAGGCGGTCGCGGATGGATGGAAGTGGCTGCAGGACTGCCTGGCGGGCCTCATCACCGCAAAGGCGAACGCCAGGACACCCGAGGGCCGACAGTTTCTCGACAACGAGCTGCAAGGCTTCCTCAGTGTAGACTACTGTGGGCAGAACCTCAGCGCGAGGCTCGACGCATCAGTTCGGCATGCTCGGCAGATTGCGCAGAGGAGTTTCAGCAGTGAGGACATCATGACCTTCTCGGAGGAGATCGACGAGGATGTTAACTTTGCCATGCAGCTAGCGAACAAGGAATCTTCGAGGCGCTGGAGAGAATGGTGTGACGGGGCCTGTGCGGGCGGAGCGGGGAAGCTCCACAAGGTCACTCGCGTGCGAGCAGTTCAGGCCCCCACCACGGTTAACGACTCGGAGAACGGCATCACAGGGCACCCGCACTTTGTAGTCAAGGATATGGAGGATACGCACGCAGCGCTGTGGAAGGCGGTGAAGGAGCCTCCCCAGGCGTGGATTCCTGATAGGTCTACCCTCGCACGGCCATCACCAGAGGAACTTCGGCGCGCCTCCCGTACATTCAGCATCAAGACCTCCAGCAGCCTGGGCGGCCTCCACCCCGCGCACTTAGAGCACCTCAGCGATGACGCGTTGGAGGGCCTGTGCGACATCATGCTGGCCTGCGAGGCGCTGGGCCTCTTCCCTGTCCAGCTGACGTGGATGGTGATGCCGATGCTGCCCAAGGCCGCTGGAGGCCACCGTTTGATCATCCTATACTCCATGGCCTACAGAGTCTGGCAACGACTACGTAAACCTGCCCTCCTACCTCTGTAAGAGGCCCTGCGAAGGCCCTATTGGGCGGCTGCCAAGAACAGGAGCGCGGTCGACAGTGCCTGGGTCCTGGCAGCGGATGCGGAGCAGAATGCAGAGGCAGGGCGGCACACGGCCACCATCATTGCTGACTACAGCAAGTACTGCGAGCTGATTCCCCTGGACGAAGCAAGGGACAAGCTGCTGAGGCTTGGAATGCCCTTGGCGATGGTAAAAATTGTGTACAACCAGTGGAGGGGACCACGAGTGATACGTCTCCACCAGCATCGCGGCGCGCAGCCACGGCATGCAAAATTCGGCCTCCCAGCAGGCGATGGCTACGCAGACGTGGTCATAAAGGCGCACGCCATCGAGCAGTACGATATCTACGTCACGCTCCACCCGCTGGTAAGGTTCGCGTCCTACATTGACGACACCTCCCTCGGTATCAATGGAGCCGCCAAGGAGAGTGTCATCCTGCAGGCGGTCGAGGCGGGCAATGCCTTTTTCAATGTGGCTAAGCAGCTCGGCGCCCGTATTAATGATAAGCTTGCTGTGGTGGCCAGGTCAAATGGGATTGGGAAGGAAGTGGTGCGACAGCTGCAACTTCCTGCTGACATGAATCGCAGTCGGGCGACCTACCTGGGCACTGGCTTCGCGGGGGCACGGAGGAGGCGAGGGAAGCTCCTCCGCGCCAAGCAGCAGGCACGCCACAAGATCTACAAGCAGAGGCTGCGCAAGCTGGGGCGATTCAGACATCGACTACCAGGACAGCAGACGCAGCGCACGGCCAAGATATTCCGAGCTGGAGCTCGACCTGCGGCCACGTTCGGCGTGGAGATCACGGGTCTCACCGACAGGGAGCTCCACAAGCTGCGAACAGACTTCGACAAGTTCCGCAAACCCTGTCATGGGGGCGTCTCGGCCTCGGCCAAGGTGGTGCTACTGGGCGACCCCACAGTGGCGATTGCGATGGCGCCAGTGCTGCAGTGGTCGCGGATGGTCTGGATGGCAGTATCGCAACCTACTCAGGCACCAGTACCTCTGGCACTACTTACGACGTGGTGGCGAAGAGCGGTGGAAGTACCTGGGGTATGCAGCTCGTGGGGAGCTACCCGTTGGCCTCTCCAACGAGCTGCCCTCTCGCTGGCGCGGGCAGGCTGGACAGCAACCTCGGCACTGAGGTGGCGTAACCATCGAGGGGATCAGGTATTTGTGGAGCAGCTCACCCCAAGCTTAATGCTCCAGATGTTGCAGCAAGGCGTTCAATGTCAGCATGAGCGAGACCTAGCGGGCAAGCTTGGCCTTGGTGAGGGCAAGCGTGCCACTTTCGACATCCTAGCCCCCCTGGTCTCCATGCGCAGCAAACGGTACACGGCGCACCAGAAGTTCTGCATCATGAATGTAGCGCGCAGTGGAGTCTGGACAAGGATGAGAGCCCAACAGCGTGGATACAACACGGATGGTAGGTGTCCCTGTGGAGCTCCCGACTCGCTGGTGCACCGACTTCTTGATTGCACAAGACCTGAAGTTCAGCAAGCTCGAGCTGATGCAGAGGTCCCACAACATTTCCTCGACGGGCTACGCATGCATGCAGATGAGCCTGGTTTTATTGAGGGTATGTTTGGATATGCGTGTGCGGATGTTCCAATGAGTTTGGGCACTACCAGCGTCATACTTGACGGCCAAGGAGTCCCAGTACCAGATGAAGAATGTCAGGAGCCTGAGCAGATGGCAGCCTGTTTCCTCAGGGATGACGATGCTAGTATGGAGATCGCTACTGACGGCTCGTGCACCAAGCCGCCCATCAAGGAATTCCAGCGAGCAGGATGGAGCCTCGCCCTGCTGGACCCCCGCTCAGACATGCCGCTGGCGACCATGCACGGAGCAGTACCCGCATCCTTACCCCAAGAGTCTGCCGTCGGAGAGCATCTAGCGGCAGCCTTCGTGTCTCAGGTTGCAGACCGACCCTGCACCGTCTACGCCGACTTCAAGGGCGTCATCCATCTGGGCAACAAGCAGAAAGAGCTGCAGCTGAAGGCCAGGACCCCCTATGCGTGCATCGCCCACTTCGCGCAGTCGCCCGACGGCTTCACGCACGTGCAGCAGTGCGCCCACGTCAAAGCGCACCGCTCTGGGGACGAGTACGCAGCGCTCTCCGACAGCCAGAGGAGGATAACGGACGCGAACATTGTAGCGGACCGCAGGGCCAAGGAGGCAGCGGCGATCCACCCCGCCCCCGAGCTGCAGGTAGTCGAGGAGATGCAGAAGGGCGTAGACAGAATAAACCAGTTAGCGAAGCTGATCGCCCACGTCATGCCCATCTTCGACAAGGACGACCAAATCAGGTGGACCAGGAGGGCACCGACCTGGCGGAGAGCAGCGAGCACAAGGAAGGCAACATGGCACCAATGGCAAGGTGGCGAGCTGGGCGTGCAATGCATCACCTGCTTACAGTTACACATGCCTGGGCAACCGCTCCCCCTCACGGGGTGCCCTGGGACGCCCACTTTCCTGCTGGACCATCGGCGCAACCCCAATGGCCACAAGCTGGTCGCGGTCAACCAGAAGGGCACCTTGGAGAGCGACGGGCAGGACACCTACAGGCCAGTGTTCATCTGTGTCAAGTGTGGGGCTTGGGCGCTGCAGCGGCGCAAGGCCAAGTAGCGACAGCCCTGCGCAGTCGCCACTACCAAGGGCCTCGAGGTCCTCCACAACCTGAGGCGTGGCTTCGGTCCCTTCAAGAAGCTGAAGAAGTTCATCGACAGCACCACCCCTCTTCGACGGCTGGAGACGACAAGCGAGGTTCACACCACTTTCACGAAGGTTGACATCCTCAGTGGCACGGACGGGGCAGTGCCTGAGGCAGGTTTTGAGAGCAGAATGGCTGCACTTCACCAACGAGTGCGTGAAAGGGCACAGTCCTGGTGTGACGAGCAGGAAGGGAGGAACACCATGTTCGGACACGCGATGGCCAGAGGAGATTTCCAGCAGGCGGCAGTTCGCGGAGCTCGAAGGGATAGGCGTGCTGGGGCACGACTCAGGGGGGCCCAAGGAGCTGCTGCTGCTGGGGGGCCCAGTGCCGCCGCCAGCACGGGACCGCGCCGCAAGACCACGCAGTGCGTCATCTCCTCGGCCGCGGCGGACAGCGTGGAGCACGTCGCGGAGTATGCTGCTGCTGGGGCTGCTGGCGCGGGGGCGCTGCGCGGCTCGGCGGCGGCTCTCGACGGCTCGGGCGCGCTGGGCGCACAGTGCGCGGGCGCGCTGGGCGACGACGAGCGCGACACTCAGGTGGTAGCAGCCTCGGAGGCGCTCGGCCTGGAGAAGGACTCCTTCGACGGCTCGGCCGCGCTGGACGTCGCGGTCGAGGGCGCGCTGGGCGACGACGAGCACGACGCCGAGGCTGCAGCTGCTGCGGAGGCGCTCGGCCTAGCGATGGGCCTCGGCAGCTCGGGCACGCTGGACGACGGCCTCCTGGGCGCGCTGGGCTTCGGCGCTGAGGCGGCTGATGCTGGGGAGGCGGGCAGATCGCTGGCGGTTGTCGACGGCTCGGACGCGCTGGGCGTCGACACCAAGGGCGCGCTGGGCGACGCGGAGCACGACGCGGAGGCTGCAGCTGCGGGGGCGGCGGACTGCCTTTCGGCGGGCGCCGACGGCTCGGACGCGCTGGACGTCGACCCCGTGGGCGCGCTGGACGACACCGCGCACGACGCCGAGGAGGCTGCTGCGGGGGTGGCGAGCGGCTCGGCCGCGGCCGGTGGCGTGTCGGGCGCGCGGGGCGGCCACGCCGCGACGGCACTGGGCTCGCTGGGCTTCGCCGAGCGCGTCGCCCGCCTCCTGGCGGCGGCTGGCGCGCGTGGGCAGCAGGCCCCTGGCGCAGCCGCACCCAGCCTGGACGAGCGCGACGGCGCCATTGCCTCGGCCGAGCTCGAGGGCAGCGGGCGCGGCGCCGAGGCAGCAGCAGCGGGGGCGGTGTGCAGGCCGTGTGCCACGTACCCCCCTCTGCGCCACGGGCCTGCCTGGGAAAGTGTCCCCGCCCTCGGCGGTTGGCCAGGGCCCTGGGATCCTCGGGCCGCACCGAGCGTACGAGGGCAAGGACGTGGGCAAGGTGGCGGCCTCGGCGGCCGCGTGGCCGCGCTGGACGGCGGCCGCCGTGCCTCGCTCGGCGGCCTCGAGCACGGCGTCGAGGCTGCCGCTGCTGCTGCGTCGCCGCGGGCGGAGCGGGCCAGAGCCGACTCCGAGGAGTCGAGAGAGGGCGCGGTGGCCAGGGCTGCGGCTTTCAAGCAGCTCGTCGCGCTGGCGCAGAGGTCGTGAGGCCCGTCGGCCAGTACGTGCTCCTCATCTGAGGAGGCTGGCCAGGCGGCCGAACCCTGACCTCAGGGCTTGTCATCATCATCATCATCCTCCTCCCTCCTCCTCCTCCTCCTCCCTCCTCCTCCTCCCTCCTCCTCCTCCTCCTCCTCCTCCTCCTACTCCTACCTACTCCTACTCCTACTCCTACTCCTACTCCTTTTCCTCCCCCCCCTCCTCCTCCTCCTCCTCCTCCTCCTCCTCCTCCTCCTCCTCCTCCTCCTCCTCCTTCTCTGCCCCCTCGTCCTCCTCTCCCCGTTCCTCTCGCCCTCCCCCCCTGGCCGCAGCAGTCGGCCGCGTGCGCACCCGCTCTTCGGCCCCACCGCGGGGCGCCGTTCACGACGCCACGGGCCCCCCCCCGGCTCCGGAGGAGGCGCCGGGGAGTTCCGCCTCTGTGGCGTCGGCGGATCGCCCCCCCTCCCCCCCCCTCTCAGAGGCGACGATAGTCAGAGCCCCGAACCATCAGGGTTAACTCGGGTCAGGGTTAACTCGGGTTCGTTTTCTCGGGAATAACCCGAGTTACCCTGGGCCCGAGTTACCCCGGATAATTCGGGCGTCCAGAGCCCCACATCATCAGGGGTAACTCGGGTCAGGGCTGACTCGGGTTCCTTTTTCGGGAATCCAAACCTGAGTTACCACGGACCCGAGTTACCCCGGATAACTCGGGCGCCCAAGATAGGGGCGAATAGCCCAGGGGAGAGCAATACATGTATTCAGGTGCGCCGATGATCTATGTCTTGGAAAAGGCTCCCGGGCGAGTACGTGTAATGCCCGCCCCTGGGCTATTCACCCCTATCGTCGCCGCCGAGCCTCCCCTGTGCAGCCCCTCTCCGTTCGTCTAACGCGGCCCAAGGGTTCCGCGTTGGAGCGCCGTTGTGTACATCGGGCGTTCGTTTTTTTTTGTTTCTTCTCTATCTCTCTCTTTCTCTCTTTTCTCTTCTGGAGGGAGGCATGGACACCACACACAAACGTTGCTTGTCATGTGACTCTGCGAAGACAAAGCATGGTGCATGGAGGGGAAGAGGGACACCCATGAGACATGAGCAAATCATGCGAATCCTAGATTTCGTAGATCTATTTGGGCCCCCCGGGCCTTCTTTCCGTCCTCTCTTCTGCAGGGGAGGTTGGCGCTGCGCGCCGTCAGCGGATCTCCGTGCCGTTCTGCTTCTTCTGTAGCCCCGTCTGGCGCGGAGTTGGGCGCAGCAGGCTTCCCTTCGGCATACATGCGACATCGTTCGACCCCCCGTCTCTGTTCGACCTCCCTTTCGACGACGACGATTCAAAGGAGGCTGGCGTGCTTCAGTCTGGGTTGGGTTGGCCTCGCGTCGAAGAGCCTCTCACGCACGCCGACGGGGTCGACGGATGCCCCGTCTCACCTGGCGTTGGGCTCCACAGGCTCCTGTGAGGAACGCCCTGGGGTGGCGAGCAGGGCTTCGTGGCGAGAGATCGACGGCGAGCCGCATTTTTGGAGTATGTTTTAAAACATTTTTCGCCCAAAATCTGCCTGTAGGGGGACATGCTCGACCTAAGCCCAGGAGGGAAGTGCGAGGGAGCAGGCCTGCTCAGAAGGATCAGAGGCCTCTGGCCTTTGACAAGATTTCTGAGCTTTCTCCGAAGACGGGAGCTGCTTCTCAGAGCGCCAAAGGGCTTTTCTGAGAATCCCCGCCGCCCTCCGGGAAGGTCTGCACCCCTCTCACTTCCCCCCTGGGCCCGACGCGGAGGTTCACATTGGGGTGGCGAGCAGGGTCTCATGGCGAGAGAGATTAGGAGAGATTGAGAGAGAGAGAGCCTGAGAGAAGGAGAGAGAGAGAGAGAGAGAGTCGTCACTGTCGTCGCCAGGGTGGCGTTGGCCGCCGCCATCCACCACCAGTTCCGCCTCCCTTTGTCCTTGCCCCATCGCTCGCCCGCCGTTCTCGTCGTTGTTCGTTTCCTGCCACGGCGCATCGCAAGCTCGGTGTATTCTTTGCGGCTGTCTCCATGCAGTGCAGAAGCGGACATGCGCGTTGCTGTCAGTGCTTTCAGACGTGCGAGGACGATTGGTGCCGTCGCCTGGGCAACGACATGTGGCCGGTGTGTATCCCATCCTCTGGTGCGGGCATGCGTGCTGCTTCTCTTTGTGTAGCAGGGTTGAGTTGTCAGTTCTGTTTAGGGCAGCGGGGCTTGCCCTCTCGACAGCTCGCCGATTCGGCTCCGCTCGCTTCTCTTGACCCGGTCAGTCTTGCCCGGCAACGTGCCGTGCCGCAGTGTGCCCCAACGACCTCAGAGTGTCGGTCGGATTCATTCAGAGCGTGAATTACCTACCCCGCTTTCGCTTCCAGGCAAAACCAAGCCATACCACGCGCCTCCTCGTCAAGCGGCCTGACCAGTACAGGCTGCAGTTTGGCATCGTTTGGTATCTCTTGGAAGCGAGGGTGATCAAAAGCGAGGTAGGTTTGTTTTCCCCCTATTCATGATGAATCCGACCGAAATTTTGCGCGATCGCGCAGACACGTCCTTGGCAGTGTTGGCAGACTGCAGCGGGGAGTTGCATCGCCATTCCAGGGAAGCTATGATGAGGATGAGGATCATGACGATGCCACCTCCCTGCTGCTGCTGTTCCTGTGTCCCTGTTCCTCCGATGCCTCCTTTTTTTCTCATCGCTGTCGCTGTCTGCCTCCTCCTCCCCCCTCACCCGCCCCCCCCCCGACCCCCGACGTCGTGATTTGTTTCGCAACGTCGACCCTGAGAGGCCTGGACCCCTTCTGGAACCAGGTTTTCATCCTGAGTCGTTTTTTTGCGGTCCGGAGGCCCGGTAAGGGCCCCCGGATGCCGGAAATAGAGAACAAATCCCGTCGCGTTTTTTTCACAGTGCGAGGGGGCCTGGGCCTTTCGCACCTTCGTCCTCCTTTGTCCTCGTCGTCCTCGTCCCTCTCCTTCGCCCCATGATTCTCCTCCTCACTCCTTGCTCGGATGCCCAAATCCTAATCTACTTTGGGCGCCTTCTTGCTCCAATATTCGAGCAGTTGTCCCTCTTCCCTCCTCTTCAGAGGGCGGGCGAAAGCCCAATCTCTTTTCAGTGCCTTCCAACATCATGCTTCTACCCACTTCTTCCGACCGACGGGCACTCTCTTGATTCCGTCTTAAGCGTCGGTTAGCGTCGCTCAGCGTCTGGCACTTGATGAGGCAGCGCCGATGCTGCGTCGACCGGCGCCGATTTAGCATCGACTAGCGTCGATTTAGCGTCGACCAGCGCCTATTCGCAAGAGCCGAAGAGAGCTGGCACGGGAGGCTCCGAGGGAGCTGCCACCGAAGGGGGGAGCGAGCGGGGAGGGCGGTGGCGGGGGACGCCCAGCGGCGGCGGTGCCGGCGAGTGGGAGCGGAGGAGCAGAGGGGGAAGGGTTAGGTCGGGCATGTCTTCCTGCAGGCGGATTTTGAAGGAAAAGTTGGAAATAGTCCAAAAATAATCAACCATCATCACGAAATGATCGTCCCCAGACTCATTTTTTGACTACTCTTCAACTTTCCTCCAGTAGAGGGACAGGCCCGACTTAAGGGAAGAGATGCCGAGCACCGCTGCGCGTCCCATCCGTCGTCGCCGCGGCCGCATCCGGACCCGGCCTCTTCCCCCCGAGCTGTCTCCCGACGGCTCCTCGGGGGCCCAGCGAGGGCCCACCCCCGAGGTCGGAGACTGCCAGAGGCCTCCCGCCGTGTCGTGTCGCGACGAGGGGGGCTCCCCAGGGGCAACGGCAGGAGGAGGAGGAGGAGGAGGAGGAGGAGGAGGAGGAGGAGGAGGAGGAGGAGGAGGAGGAGGAGGAGGAGGAGGAGGAGGGGGAGGAGGAGGAGGAGGAAAGGTCGGCATGGGGGGTGGGGGCCCTCGAACTCTCGGTTTGGCGCCCTCCCGGATTGCGGCTGCCTCCCCCTGCTGTGCCCGCCCCCCTCGAGCTGCCCCGGGCCTCTGGCGGATCCCAGCGCCCGTCGGTGCCTTCTCCCCTGGCGGCCGCGGTGCTCGTCAGCATCTTCGCGGTGCCGCTCTGGTCGTCTTCGGGCCTGCTGGCTTTCGGTGGCTTTCCTGTGCGTGCCGTCGAGGCGCTGCGAGGAGGAACGGGTGGGGCTCGGAAGGGGCTCGCTGGTCCGCGGGCCCCTGGCGTTGCTGCTCCTCGGTTGTCCCTCGTGCACCTGGGCGCTTTCTGGGGACGAGGCGGGGCCTCCTCCCTCGTGTCCTTCTGGCAGCAGCCTCGCTGTGCTCTCCAGTCCGGCCCAGCCCTCCAGGGGTCACGCGAGGGGGGGATGGTAGGCTGAGGTGATGGGCCTGTTCTCCACCGCCACCACCCTAGTTGGAGGGGGGTAGGTGAAGGACGAGGAGGAGGAGGACGAGGAGGAGGAGGACGACAAGGAGGAGGAGGAGGAGGAGGAGGAGGAGGAGGAGGAGGAGGAGGAGCAGAATGATGATGTGGAGGAGGAGGGGGAGGAGGAGGAGGAGGAGGAGGAGGAGGAGGAGGAAGAGGAGGAGGAGGACCCCCTCCCTCTCAAACTTATGGTGGTGATGGTGGAAAACATGCCCATCATGAGAGGGGGATACCTTGACCCTCACTCGCCCACTGATCTCCGACAGGGGCCCGATCCCCCAACGCCGGTCAGGAGCGTGCGGTTTCACCATCGGGGCCCTGCCGCCGATCTATCGGCGATGCACCGCCGAGGAAAGCTCGATGTTTCCACCCCGTGAGCAGGTCCTTTGTCTCCCTTTCTGTTGGGCAGGCCGCAGAGCGAAAGCTCGAAGCGTCAGATAGCGGGCACGCTCGCCTGCACGCCCGCCGCGACACCCGCTCCCACGGCCATCAAGCTGATGGTGGGAGAGACGCTGATGGTCAAGGATGAACAGCCAAAAGAGGAAGAGCAGCAACAGAGACGAGAGTAATGGATGGATGTAGTAGGGATGCAGCCAGGGCGCATAGCAAGGACGAGCGCTGTTCCAAGGCTGATTACCC